GCCCAATTTAAGAAATAAATAAAGAAATGAGAGCCAGTCATGAACTTGACAAAAAAAAGACTTCACTAAAATGATTTTTATCTGAAATATACATATTTAACAGTTAGTCAGGAAAATAACATGTTACTTGAAGCTGCATAACTGAAAAAATAGCAGATTTAACTTTCTGTTTTGAGCTTTTATCTCGCAAGGTTCAAACAAACATAGACATCTATGTCATTTTGCAGAGTGCCTTAACATTGAAATGATGATGTATGTATTTTTCTGATACTGCCATCAGGTTTTGTTACAATTCTGGTAAATAAAATATTATTCCATGTTGTAGAATATATCTTAAATAGCAATAAACTGTCAGCCCATCTAGAGTGATCCATGCCTTTTACCCAGTGGTTTCCTGGTGGATGGATCTCATCCAAATAGAAAAATATTACAGTTACAAAGAAAATGTCTTACTTCTGAAGTGGAATACTTCTGTCTGAAAGTGCAATGTTTGTTTTGTATGTTTGATTTAATTTCCAATGTCTATTTACAGTAGTCCCTCGTTATCACTCATTTCACCTTCCTTGTTTTTATTGTATTGCCGATTTTTAAATAAATTTCATAATTTATACATCAGTCATTCATTTATTCATAGATTTACTCTTTTAACTTCTTATGCTATCCCAATTATTTATTTATTTCAGACTATGTTCAAAAATGTTTCACAAAACAGACCCACCAACCAGAAATGGGGAAGTCTTATAAAGCTAGTGGCCAGCTAAATTTAAAGTTATAGTAATGGGCAACGTTACCTGTGTAGCATACATTTTTGTTCAAACGTTGTATGGAGAATCGCTGTACTAAAATCAGTTCACCTTCAATGCTACATGGAATAGATGGGTTTCAAAAAGGATGACTGTTTTGTTGTTGTTGTTTTTTGCTTCTATTTGATTTTAACTTATGGTAGATTTACTGCTTCATATACCTCTGTGGGAATTGAATGGGGGTTTTCAGTAGTGGGCACACCTCAAAGACAAGACCTGTCCAGAAATGGATATATTGTCCAAAGACAACACCACAGGGGATGTAATTTTTCCACTGAAAATATATATACTCATGGATATTGTTTTCTCGTCGAGGCCAATCAAAACTTACTTAACGAATTGAAAACATTTAGCTGTGCTGGAAATTTAATGTGATATTCCATTTTATGAAGTGGTGTAATGACTAATTTTTCAATCATTAAATTTAGTTCCACTACAACAGATAGGGGATTGAGGAAGTAAACCCCATTCAGGATCATTAACGTGAAGAAGGGTTTTACGAAACACTCTTACCATTCAACATGCAGATTAAAAAGACCACAAATCCCCCTTAAGTCGTTTGATTTATGTCTCTCACTGTTTACAGAAAAATTACTTTTATTGTAAATTGTTTTTTCAAAGGGGTTGTGTCTTTCTTTGGTAAACACGGGTCCTACACAGAGGGATTTGCTTAAAGCCTTTGCCCACTGAGGCAGTCACTAAGGTGGAGGAATCTCATAATTAAAGCCTCATTAAAGCTATACAGCCCAACTATGTTGGTTTACGGGGCAAGACAGGAACCTCGGAGATTCACAATGGGGCTTTTCATAATACCTCACTTCTCTCGGGGTAAAAAAAAAAAAAAAGAAAAAGCAGTTGCTCTTAGCATTTGGGCAGATGTAATTGCAATCACTCAGCTTGTCTGATGCTGATAATGGGGGCGATGGGAAATTCCTGTCAGAGTCGTGGCGCGGGGCGGTTTCGCAACCACTTTTGGCAGGGCCTCATGATCCACTGCAGGGCAGCGAATGCGTCGCAGCACGCTCGCATAGCTGTCATTAAACACTCTGAGAAAAAAAAGAAACATAAGACAATCAAAACTCCCAAGTGTGTGCCGTTCTGCTTCTCGTTGAGCAACGAAAAGGTAAATATATTGTCTACCATCCCCGCGTAGTTAAACGTGTTGAAAAGAGCCCTGCTTATGAAAAAAAAGTGGCCGTGCCGTTTTTGAACGTCATTACTTTTTACGTCCTTTTTTCTTGACTCGCAGTCTCCGAGCAAACACGTTAAACGTTACCTTTAAAAGAACTGTGGTTTGGTCGATTTATGAATAAAGATGAGGTGTTTGTTTTTCCTTATTGCAGCTGTGCTTTTCAGAAAAAAAAGCAGGCCGTTCCTGCCCGATACACGTGCTACAGTAGGTAGCTGGAATAGCACATGGGTGCGACGTTCTTGTGGTCAGACTTCGGGTACAGTATGTGACACTTGGCATCTGAGCAATGCCTCTAAGAGAGGGCTCTGTTATGAGGCATTCATGCAACGATACAAACACGCTTATTTTACTGGCTTGCACAGGCATTCATCCCACTGAATCCCCTCAGCTTATTGGAGCCCCGCTAGACCACCCAAGAAAAACTACAAACCGATAGAAATGCTTTTTAATAATGACCACGAGAAACGCAATAAGGGCCCACGTTTCTCAGGGTTCAAACGTGTTGTGAGCATCAACAGCTATTCAGTTTAATTAGACTGAAACGCAATCTTAAACAGAGGCAAGCCGTGCGGAGTAGAGCAGATTGAGTTATCTGGACACATAATACTGAATGTTGTGCCTCATCTCAAACAGTAAGATGTTTATACAGTATGAAGACAGTATTTACTGCAGTTTGGCTGCTGGCCAACAGCAGTATTTCAGGTATGATGTTGAATATCTATATCTATACATTATCTATACATTAAAATACATACATACATGCATATATATATGTACAAAAGAAAACACTGTAAAATGAAACAGTTTAGCATGAAGGAAGCAGGTCCATGTGCTGGTCTATATTTTCATTTTGACATCAGGTATGAAAGTGAGTGTTTAGGCTTTACTGCAGCCAACACTTTCAAAGGACAAAGAAAGAAATGAAAAAGACCATTTTTTGGTGGTGAAGAAGTTGGACACTTGTGAAAGACCCCAAAAAGTCCCCCAAAAAAGAGCAAAATGTAGAGATTATGCATAAAGTCAGTCGCATAACTTTTAACCTAATGTTATGGTTACAGTCAGTGGCTGAGAGAAATGTTATGTTTCAGTTAAAAAATGCAGTTTAATGCACATGAACTAACAAATGTCTCTCTGTCATTTTTAAGTACAGCAGTAATTATGAGAGACAACACCATCAAATCATGAAAATGATCATTGCAGCAGCTTTGATATGCTTTGAAAGTGGCATTTGGTCAACAATCTATGGAATGCCTCAAAAGAACAGCATAACTCCCCCATTTTAACATTGGACAACAAAATAAGAAATGTAGTTTAATGATAATGATCGCTTTATTGGGGATTTGTCTGTATCATGATACAGAATACTGAATGTGACCACAGACAGAGGCAAAGTGAGCTTTACAGTTTTAGTTACATGCTGTTGAGAATAGTTGCCAACAGAATTTCTGTTGGACTGAAGCCCCGAAAGCAACGTGAATACACATTTATCCATACAGACTTTGTCCATTGCTTTCAAAATGTCCTTGTTTTCTACAATTTCTGATTGTTTCTGAGAATTTGTATTTTGACATAATACAGGTCTGTTTGCATGCAGTCAAAGCTAATGTATACAAGCTGTAAATGTGACATAGAGGAACATTCAAAGAATAAAAATGAAATCCCCAGTCCACATACATATGAGGGTGTGCCAAACTAGTCATTTAGAAAATGTGTTACAATGAGATGCACTAAGTCAGGAAATGGCTGGACATGAGGAAATATGTCATGTATAGGAAGGGCCCATTTTATTTTGTGGACTTTGTAAACTTTACATGCATCTTAAAGTTATAGCTCAATAAGGAAATACAAAAAAGGTTAGCAAAAAAATTACAAATAAATAGGATCTCCTAAATCTAAGAGCTCCCCATATTTTACTAACACAAAGCTATTGTATTTAGCATGAATATATGCCTTGTTGAAGCCTTGTTTGAAGTGCATTCCTTCTAACATAGTGCACATGCCATCATTAAGCATCACCATGTTCACCATTATGATTTAACTGGTATAGTGTGTTAGCATGTGTTAGCATCAGCTAATTATTGCTAAAAACAAAGTACTGCCGAGGTATTTGGTCACCAACCAAAGCAATGAAACATTGACCTGAAAAGTTAAGTAATCAAACATTATATTACATTTTATTCTGAGACAAACATACATAATTTCATTACATTAAATCTAATACTCGTTGATATATTTCACACAAAACCAACATATGGCGGCAGTACATTAGTCCTTTTTTTGATCTGAGGACCATAATTGTGAGTCCATAATCTATTGATAATTAGAGAAAGTTCTGGGCATATGCAAAACTTTGTAACTGTTGTTTTATAAAATAGCATGAAGCTTTTTGAGCATCAGTCATCCAGTGTACTCACAGAGTCTATGTACCATATCAGAATACAGCATTCATACATAAGTGTGATTTGAAATAAAAAATTAAAAAAACTTATGTGTATACACAATAGATATTGTAGACAAAAAATGTCGTGTCAATATATATTAAATGTAAAACAGCTTTATTACATGTACCATTGTTTTTCCAAGAATTACAGAGAACTATTTTTTTTTAAAGCATTGGTTTACTGCGACTGTGTCCCAATGGCAATGGCAAATACACTGTAAAAACATACTCTCCATTTTACTTTTAGGTTATTTTATTGCTTGACCACCATGCATCCAGGTTCCTGAGGGAAGATGCATTGTATTGTGAAAAGCACGTTTTACCCTTTGGTTCTTAACTCTGTCCATTTTACCATCAGACTGGCAGTATAGTCAATGTCAGCCTTTATCCTTCCCTCCTTCCTTCCTTTCTCCTTTCCTTCCTTTCTCCAAAAGTCCAATGTGGTTTGGTCTTGTGTGGCAGTGCTCAGAGCCAGTTCATTGTCAAAATAAAAATACAAATGTAAAAAAGTATACAGCATCCGTGGAAAGTTCTAGATGTTCTACTCGATAGTGTAACTGGGAGGCTATACGCCAAGCAGAATGCCCATGAAATCTGAACCGTTCTGTATTGTTATGGAAGCACCGGCGGCGTTATCCACAAAGACAGAAGTGTACTGGCCAGCCTGAGGAGGAAAACACACAACACGCAGAAGAAATCAGAATTTACAATATTTTCAATATTCAATTTAGTTTCTTTTCATTTATTTCGGCCCACCTGTAGCTCCAGCAGCCCCTGAACGCTGACGGTAAAGATCTTGCTGTTGCTTTCTAATCCAACGATCATCTCCAGCGAGCTGCAATGACAAGAAAAAAAAGTTTTCAGATGTGTCTAAGCTGCATTCCTTAAAACATTGGTAAGTTAAATCAAGTGTAAAATGCCTAATATCGCTATGAGAGATAGACATTTAGAAATATGCGCGCTTTCTTGCCAAAGTTTACATTAAGGATCATCAAGGATTTTTGCTTGACATGTTTTCTGGATTCAAAGGGAAAGGTTTACATGATTTTTATCATGTTTTTACTATAAGATTTTGACTTGTTAAGTGAATAATGGCAGCACTTGTACTTGTATTTGTACCCAGCAGATGTAATGATAATGGATTCTGAGCTGCCTTCGTGATTAAAATTAGTTTGGAAGCATGCAAAATAAGACATGAGTTGTGAAGAAAACACTTTTTGTAAAACCTTACGGTGGCATCATAGTGTTATAACTTTGTCAGTATTCGTTAGCTTGGATACCCCCCCTGTATCCCCAAATAAAGCATTTTGTGTCAGACACATACTGCAGTTAAGGCATTAAGCATGTCACATGCCTGTAGAAAAAAATAAAACTTTTCTTTCATACACTAAAAACAACAGCATAAAATTATATCGATTAAGGTTTGGTCTTAAAGATGACATGGATAAAAATAAATAAAAAACAGTGCTATCTTAAAAAAACACTTAGATCTTTTTTCTTAGCATTTGCTACTGACTCTTGGCAAAATACGATAATCTCACAAACTATACTTTTAGTGTGAAAAAGTGTTTTATCTTCACATTTTGCTATGAAACTGGACCACAGTATCATGCAATGAACGTGGTTCTACATTTTATTGTTCAAAAGATTCTTTGGTTTTACTTGTCTGTAGATCACTCAATTTAAAAATATATTTCTCTTGGATAGAGTTTTCTAAATAATCCATCTTTTGTGGCCTAATATTATTTTTGAATATGAACAAAAGGCACAAAGACAAAGTGATATTTTTAAAGAAATGTTCCATCTAGCCTGATTTGATCACTTTAAAGGCTTCCTTTAGTTTTGTATTTGTGGATGTGAGAAAAATATCATGCTTCCCGTTTAACGGCATGCAAAAGAAAGCGAATAAACATATCCCCCAAAAGTTTCGCTCTATTGACTCAGCACCCTCAGTCTGCTCAGATGGTTGAACCTCGCAGCAGCCTTCAGCCACACAGTCAGAGAACTGGCTTGTGTTAAGTGGAAAATTGTACATTTTTGCTGCAAATCAATCATGTTTGTCTTCACTCCAACTGCCATCACATCGAACCTCATTTCACATTCTCTGCATTTTCATGTGTAGGAGGGTGAGACTCACTGGGGCTCTGGCTCAAAAAGCAAAAGCCAAGCACTCTTTTGGGTTAAGTAACCCATCATAATAATATTATTTATACATTCCCTTCATAGTACCATACTCGTGGAGAGACTGTGGAGCTCTGCACAGTCCAAGGAAGCCTACTGGGAGCAATTTATTTCAAACTTTTTCTCTGACTTAATGTAAATAGAAATTGTGAAATACTGGGAAGGCCTAGGGTTTGCTGGCATTTATTTTCCTTGTAGAATTCTGCAGTCATGTATGCCATTATCTGCCTCCTGCTTTCCAAACAAGGGAATTTCACTGCTCTGCTGTTGTATACAACTTGCTGTCCAAAGTGTCAAAGGTGAGTCTATAAAGATTAGTCCAGCGACATGGACGAAGGCTCTAAATGAGAAGACTCTTCCTTTAAAGACCTGTGCTGCTTTTATACAGGAAATGCCAAACTGGTTCCATACAAAGTGCAACAGACGACACCTTTAACAGCTCATAAAACCTGTATAAAGTTAGGCAGCATTTAACACTAATAAAATATCACAGTAATAAGGGAGGCACACTCACAGTCAAACAAGAATGTGAAGAATTCAAAGAATAGTTGAAAAATTACTCCTAAAACTCAGATTTCTTCAATCTTATTGATAATTGGGGGATTTTGCTTTACCAGCAAGCGTAAGAAACTCAAACCACATGCTTACACTGGTAAACGGCACTTGTTTTTGGACATGGTTATGAGAACAACTTGTCTCTAACATGTTTTACAACCCTTTGGGACACCTACGTGTATCTGTGGCAGAGTGATTCAATGCAGATCAACACCCGAACATTGTCTCTGGCCTTGAGTTGACTCTTACTCCTCTTCACCTCGTTGTGATCTGTAAGGAGGCAGAACATTTCCAATCACATAAATATTGTGGATCCAAAAACATGTGTTCTCCTTTTGATCTCCAGCAGGTATTCCCATATTATTTATGACCAGGTAATCAAAGCATTTTACAAATGTGAACAGCTACGGGAGGGTTTTCTACTGCAATGCAGCTATATAATATTGCTGTTTCCTCACTATTTATGGCCACTGAAACACTGGCAAACTGCTGCTGATTTGCTGTAAACACTTCAAACTAAAAAGGGGGATTTTGAGGACCAGTCACTGAAAGTCACATGACTCCGTCTTTATGCCAAACAAACGCTTGGCTGGCTTCACAGTAGTTGTTTTTCTGATGTATTTCTGAATATGTAGATGGAAAACACTCTGAAGAAGTACAAGTACACAAATATATAAATGATCATTTCAGCAAATGGGGACTTGAATGAATTGTGATTGAAGAGGAAGTTTAACACAAGTAAAAGCAGAAGGGGAACAAAGGAAAAACATGTATGAGGGGGAGGTCAATCTAAATACCCTTTAACTGGAGGGAATTAGCTAGCAGGAGCCGGAATATCCATGTGGATGGACTGTGTACAAGTTCTGAGGTCTGAAATATTGCAAAAATGAAAGTTAGTGTGATTTACCAATGTGGACATTAGCAGAGAACTGGTAGATCCCTGTGATGGAAGCTGTGAACCTCCCGGTGGACTGGTCCATTCCAGAACCTCTGAGGAAAGCTCCTTTAGCTGGTGGCTGGAAGAAGTGGAAAACTGAGGTAAAATGTGCACATTATACCAAAAAGATGCACGTGGTGAGTCATCAGCATAGAGGTTTAAACATAGAGCCCTATAAATATGTCAGCAACAGTTAAAGCAGTATTTCGATTTCTTCATTTAAATAACTGCAAATTAATCAGATCCAATTGAACTTTGGTAACCTTTGAGTGTTCAGTTGACCTTTAAAAATTAATCTTGGTCACTGTGAAACAATACAGAAACAGATTGGTATTGTCAAAACTGGATTGCAGAATAGTTTTTCTAGCACTCTTCTCCAGTAAACTGTGGGTTTGTCTATTGTTATTTTCTTTTTTCTTTTGTTGTTTCTTGTGTTTAATGTGGACAATTTACCAAATTTACCAAAATAAAGTGAAAGTGAAGTGAAGTGAAAACATCTAAAAAATGACTGAGATAATGTGTGTGCATACTGATATTAAGGATATTTTTAGGTGGGACAGCTTTGATTCCTCTTCATTAACAATCCTGAAAGCAAAAGATGCCCAGGGATTGAACAGACAGAAAAGAGTGGAGGAAAAGTTCCATCCCGACTGGCAGTGCTGACATGTTGAGCAGCCAGTCCGGTGTGCCGTCCCCTCACCACCAAGACAGCAGTATGGATGAATTCCACAATTCCACATTAAGGTGTGCCCATGGGGCCTCATTTATTTTAACATGAGCAGAACAAGTTGTAAAATGTTCTATGAACAATAACACTGGTGTTCTCCAAGCTCTTCAACGATAGCCATGGTCTAGTTTTCTACTAGGCTCATGCCTATGAGGCTCTGAGTAATAATCTGTTTGGATCATCACAGAACTCTTACCAGCAAATTTTTCCAGCCTTGCTCTTACATGTTATCCAGTTCAGCAATAAATTTTACAAAGCAGATCAATACAAATGTCTCATTTCAATGAAATGACCCTTAATTTATATGTCTTTCGTCAAGAGTTGTAAACATGTTGCAAGCACAAATATATTTGCTAATCAGAATTACTACCATTAAAACATGAGAGTTAATTTATAGTGCCAAGCTTGGCTTGACTAAAGACAAGAAATGATTCGATGTAACTCAGAGATTAATTATAATGTAAATTAAAAGGAAATTGTATTGATTCTTTGCCGTAGTTTATTTAGCAGACATTTAATCTCTTTTTTTATGAAACCTATTTGTAGATGTTAAGAGAGTCTTACCATCATACTGCTTGTTTCATTTCAGGGTATTTCTGATTCTGATTCTGATATTCCAGATTGCTGTTACTTGTTTATTTTTCACAACTGTCCCTTTATTTGTCTGTTTAAACCCTTTATAACTTGATGGCTCACATCCAACAATGGATTTTCCTCGGTTTGGGTATGCTGCTGTTTCCCTGGTCAGAAATGTGTTGCACATTTTAAGCTCATAAAGAAGCCAACAAACATGTTAAAAGCATATTCTCTCTTTGTAATCTTACATGAATATTCACATACAATCTTCCCAGGTCTTAGTGTTTCAGCCTCACTAACATAGTGTTGTGTTACTGTGTCAAATATTTCAGTAAAACTTCATTCTCCCTCCTCCCTCTGTGTCAGCTTGTCCTAACAGGGCATAGTTCTTCCCCTGCAGCATGCTGTTTCAAATAGTGCCTATTTATGTCCTCTCCATACTTTATTCCAAGTCGGAGACAGAGTGTCTTTTGTATGCCGCCCAGAGAGTGATGTGTAGAATTGAAAAAGTAGATATTTTTGACCAAAGAGGCACTCTATGTCTTGGAGTGGCACTGGCATTCTTTGCCAGTGCCAGTTACCAGGGATGGAGGATCCTCTCATAATCCTCCCACATGCAGAGTAAGCAATGATTACCAAACACTCGCTCTTTCACAGTTGCGCCACGGAAACAAATAGAGTAACCATGCCGAGGAGGATTAACCAAAACTTTACTTTTTGAAAGCGGCGAGCGAGGCAGAACCAGTTTCTAAACATTTACTTGGTCTCAAACAAACTCACCGTCTGAAAGTTCTGGAGCTCCACCAGAGTCTTCTTGTCCACCACCACGGGTCCCTTGAGCTTGCAGTGGAAAGCTTCGTCTATTCGTCTGTAGGTCATTCCCTCCAGAGTGAGCAGGGTCGATGGTAGCTGGCTGGGGCTGGTCTGCCTGTCGGGGGCAGCTGCTCTCCGCTCTGTAGCCTCTGACAGAGCAACATTCAGGTTTTGACATTCAACAATGGCTTCACTGCTGCTTTACAACTGTTCTGTCGCGATCACGTTGTAAATGAAGTAGAATATGACGCCGCACTTAATGTTTCATTTGCTGGTTGTCTCAACGGCCAAGTGTAAACTTAAAAGGGAAATGAGGATGTGTCTACCTTTAATCATTTCTTTAAACTCCATGAGGAGAACGTCCTGGGTAACTTCGGCCCCGGGAGAGCCAGGAGGTCCCTGAGGGCCGGGAGGGCCGGGGGGACCGGGTGGGCCGGGCTAATGGAAGACACACATGATTACATATTGTCATGCCGGAATACCACCCGGAAAATCATTTGCTGTACGGGTATTATGTGAGTGTACATTTTTTCTGTAAACTGCAAGATACTGTGTATCCGTTGCTTTTACCAGCGGTCGTTTGCGCTTGCGGCACTTTCCGTGAAAGTTTCCAACGGGTCTTTTGACAAAATCCATCCACGACCCCAGAGGATCCACCCTCTGTTGATCAGGAAGCTACAGCAAGAAAGGAGTGGGAAATTAAACACTGGCATCAATCATGCAAATGCAAACAATAAAGAAGATTATTGTTCAATCAAGGCAAGATCAGTTCAAAATGATTTTCTTTGAAGCCAAACATTCTGAAAACTGCCATGCACATGGCAATGGGAACATTCTGCCCAGTGAGATACAAAGGGGCTACGAAACGCAACGATTATTTCTTCCTTTAAACCGTCTTCGGAAAAGCTTGCTCTAAGATACAATTAAACGGTGCCAGACACCAGGGAAGGTCAAATATGGAAACCTCTTTCCCTCCTGCCCAGTCTTCTTGCATGGCATTACACTTCGCCATCAGTCACCAAGCTCCACCGAGAGCCTCACTTTTGTGCTTATTTTTACTTTTCCAGATAATTCTCTCAAGTGCCACGTCACTTCTTATTTGCACCAACAGGCTGGGATGAATGTAAACAAACCTTGTCAAGTGATTTTCTTGTTCGGCACATGAAAATTTCCATGAGCGCTCCGGTGAAAAATGAGTCTGCCCGTCTGTGTGATGTTGATTTTGTGGACCACAAGCCTCGATTACTGAGGTTTAGAACCAGAGACCCATTTATTATTCTCTTCTATTAATACAATCTATTTCAGTCTTACAGAGATTGTTAGCTAGATGACAAATGCACAGTGAATATGATCTGTGTTTTCTAATGCTCCGCAATACTTAATATATGATAAATTACTATTCGGAGGGCTGGGATCTGTTTGGGAGATAAGAAGCTATGAAGGCCTGTGGAAGCCCCGTTTTCATGTAAAATGCTCCAACTGGTTTGTTTTCATTTTGGCAATATACACACTGAATATAATACTATATTACACTGAATGAATTTCAATTAAAGTGAGTGCAAATCTTATACCGAACCTTTCTCCAAATGTCAAAAGCCTTCAGATGAGATGGAAGAGGAGATAAAGAAAAGCCACGGAGGTGAGCTGTCTGAGCTGGAATTTGTTTAGGTTTGGCAGCCGCGCACGGATCACTTATCTGCTAAACCAACATGCCCCTTTCTGCACTGTTAAAGACTTGCGTCGTGTTCTACCGCAGCAAAGTAAAACCTCGTTTGTCTTTCCAATAAGCTGGAATAAAAATCTGTTTTTCAATCGGTTTTCAGCGCTCGCTCTCCGTCTCCCTCTCTCTGACAGCAGACAAAATAAACAACGTAACAAGTGCTGTGTTGGCCCCGTGTCAGCTTTTAAACTTGGATACAGATTGAAAAAAAAAAGAATGACTGGATCAAAAATAGTTTTAGACCACTTGATATTGCGTTCATTAGACTGGAAGCCTGTTGGATCAACTTATTTTTCCAGTTTTTTTATATTTGATAAACATTTGGAGCTTTAACGAGCTTGAAAGAACTAGCCTTTTTTCAATGCAAACTACAACAAAAAGAACAGATCTGACTGCAGATCAAGAGGTCCTCAGTTCAACTCTTGCTAGCCCCTACTTTGTAAGTTGCTTTGGATAAAAGCGTCTGCATAAACATACAAAGAAGTGCAAGTCCTGTTAATTAGCTAAGTCGAAGCATAATCTTAGCTCAACTTACATTAGAAAGAAACTGATGGTGAGGACCAGTGAATATCAGGGTCAAAACTTCATTCCATGGGCTTAGATGGAGCTTATTTAATGTCTAGAGGCCAGGCCTTAAGACCAAAGGATTGCCCTTAGGATTGCCCTTCTCTGGTATAAAAGGTGTGGTTTACCTTTGAGTTAGGGTGAGTAGGCCACCTCTCAACATTTGAATACCTCTGGGTACAATTAGTTTTAAAAAATGTTACAGGTATTGACAATCAGAATGCCTGATGGTATTGGACCGCTGCTCTAAATGTAGGCACGATGTATTAAACAGGTGAAAGCAAAGGCAGTTTGATGTAGGTATATTAATGGAGACAGCTGCAAAGCAGTATATATATTTTAATCATATTTGCGATCCCTCTCGTGTGCACTTAGACTTCCATTAGCCATGCATGTCCAAGTACACACGGCCGGTAATATGAAACTACGAATGGCACATTAGATCAGTTATGGATCCTCTGTGCGCTCAGTCACCCTCCCATAAAAATAGTATTTGACAATCATTTTCAGATACCCTTCCTTATTTTCTGTTTGGTTTATTAGTCTAATTTCTTAAATGGATATAACAGAGAAAAAACAACAAACGTTTTCCTCTATTACAGCTCACACGTGCCTCATGTTAGCCAACTTGGCATTCAGGATAAGTTATCCTACTTTCAACCTCTGAATAGTTAAATAAGGAACAAGGTAGCACAATGTGGGAGGGCCGGAGGATACTCCAGTTGAAATGCAAAGAGGCTTGTGATGAATTTAAGACTACTGTCCGGTTAGGTTTAGGAACCTCATCCAGTTGGTTAGTTTGTATGAATAGGTTAAGCTTGAAATATTCAACTCACATATGTTAACTATCATTTAAGAAACATTTAGCTGTGGAATGTTTAGAGTTATAGTGTGGAACAAAACATTGTACATATGTATTCTTTGTATTGTGCACATATGTACAATTCAGCAAACTAAAATAAGTCTGAAAAAATCCATGGAAAATTTAAAAAAATATGTTATTATTTCTGTTACTTTCAGGGAGAATGAGAGTTTTTTACTCTGCTTCAAGTATTCATGTAAAGCATGTGACTCTTTTAAGCAATGGGTGTCGGTAACAACCAATGGAAATAAAAAAAATGCATAGCAATTCCAAACCAATTCATATTTTCGCATCTGTCTGCCAAAGCTAAACTAAAAGTGGTGCCAATCTAATCAAATCACACTTCTTAAAATATCAGGCAATTGCTTTAGTTCTGCACGCTGGACACAACATTAATATATTTAAGACCGGAAGATATCGTCCTGTCTCTGATTCAAGTCTGGGACAGCTCTGTTCTGCATATGCATTTCGTTCTTCAAAGTATTGTGCTTGTTAATGGTTCTTTATTTCAAAAGTTCAAAACTGTGCAAGTTGGCCCAGTCATGTAAGTTATAATTACACATCTTATCCATTCACTACGTAGAAATAAAAAAAAGCAGCATATCATTGCCAGGAAATCAGTCATACTCTACATGTTATCCTCTGTAGCACACACCATTGTAATTAAACCATTAAACTATTCCCCGAAGGGATTTTCTGTGCTCAAGGAAGAAAAGCTATAACCGAGGTAATTATTACCTTTATTTCTGAGCTAAGAAATAACAGCAAATCACTGTATAAATAATTGAATCATCAGGTTAAGGAATGATCAAATCTTTCCATTAAACACATTCTGTTCTCTTCGTGCCTATCTGTTTTGTCAGATAATTCCTAGCAGTCGCACACGCGCGCGTGCGCACACACAGACACACACAACTTGCCTTAGTTGTCTGATTCATTGTATGCAAGTGGGTGTCTGTCTCAACCAAGGACTTCAAACATTATTGGCCTTCGCACACAAAAACTGTAGCGCTCGCTGACACAAAAAACCTGTCAGAGGCGTTCAATCTCTCACTTGCTTGCTTGAGACTATGGCAAAAGTAAACTATGGATTCCCTGGCATAGCTCCGCATCAGCAGGAACAAGCCTCGAACAAAGTGGGGAGGGAGGGATTCCAGGTATCAGTCTCAGAGCTGATGAACAAGCAGGGCTCTGGCTTTGATCATGGCTGATGTGCGAGTGCCTCACAGTTGTCTCGTCTGTCAGCAACTGTAAGCACACGCCTTTCCAAAACAGGCCAGGAGAATGTGTCAGGTATTCTGTGAGAGGATGAGAAACGTTAAGTCTTCCAGACAGTATTTATCCCTATTGATGGGGCTGGAAAAAAAAAGTTCTGTATTGAGTTCTCAGCTGGTAATGATTCTTTTTATCTGAAAATAAAAGTTCAAGCAAACCAATTTTGTTTTACTTAAATATTTATAAAGGAGCTCAAAACCACATTCTGTTCTGTTTTTATAAAATATATAGCAAGCTGTTTAGGTTGCTAAACCTAGCATAGAATTTTATACTGTGGTCCAATTTCAGCAAACCAACATTCCAGCAACTAAAGCTCAAAACATTTTAATCTATTTTTTTATGTTTATTATGTACTGCTATAGATCTTGGCATACATAGATGTACATAAACTGACCAATTAGTTATTTGTCTTCTACATACTTAATAGTCATTGACAATAAAGCACTCTAATTTGAACTCCCACCTCTTTCACCTTATATCATGCTTCTCCTTTTCAAACTTTGTCTAACTACATCAGTGGCTACGTCTACATGTACATTAATACTCAGATACAAACCTGATTAAGCTGAACAATACACAACTGCATTTTCTGATACTTTTAACCTAAAGATATACTCAGAAGCTTTGCGGAATAATGTAAGAATGAATAAAACTTTGTTGTAATTTTTCATATACCAGATTCGACACTGATGACAAAACCTCTTGTCTGTTAAGCAGCCAGCTGCCTAAACCTGTTTTCATGGATCAGATTGCATGTTGCAGTGGCTCCAGCATCAGATCCACTTGCACAAATGAATATTTGCTTTACTTCAAAGACACAGATACTACGAGAGTTTTGATCAGAGCAACACAGTAGCATACGGGTTGAATTTGAGTGGAATTAGTTCAACTAACTGTGCTCTGTAACATGTAAATAACAGTATAAATCTGGTAGCCTTAACCCATAACAATCCACACCCTTTTTTTTCTGAAACCGAAACTGAAACTGACCAAAACGAGATTGCATTAAGAAAAAAAACACTAAAAAGAAACACAATTCAATTTAAAAACATTAACACCACCAAATGTCAAAGGTCTGTAATGTTTCATGTTTCATAGAATACTTGGCTATTTTTAATAAACTGATGTGAGTTTCAGTTAATTGTTGATTCACGTGGGTTCTTATTGGTTAATGCAAATCAAGTAAATATTTTTCTTAAATAGAATGATGAAACATACACTTTTTAAAGCCACCCTGTGTTCCCTGTTTTTCAA